CAACAAGTCTTATGCTGTATATGTATTTGCTGCTTCTTTCTTTAATTGTTTTTTTCATACCTGCCAGGCTTCAACAGTCTGCCTGTAGAAAATGAGGTTATGTGTGTTTTCATATTTCCAGGATTTTTCTGAAGCTGTAACAATTAGAAGTCAGAGTTTTGAATGTGCATTCAGAGCATAATTCTTATGCAAGATCTGAGTTTTGTGGCAAAATTCAGAGCCATGGAACATAGAAACACTGGAAGCTTGCTCTGTTCTTCTAATGTTTTAAATATTTTAAAATACTATTTCTCAAAATGCTGTATTGACTAGGGTTGGAATACAGCCTCCAGGCAGACAACCAGAAAATGAAGTGCAGAGGCTACTCCTCCTCCTTTTTGCTCCAAAGCCTTTACTTTAAGATTTTGCTGATTAAAACAATTTCCAAAGTGTAGTAGTGAATATATTACTGCATTGCTAAATAAAATTTTATTTATAAGATCCTTTATCTCTAAAGAAGGAGGTTAGTTTACTGCTGCAGGGATACTCCTCTCATTGACTAGTGACAAATACTTGCATGTCCTCAGAAGAATCATTATAATGCCAAAATTATAGTGATTAAGACATTCTACAAGGGATCAACTTGATAAACATCGAAGTCTGCTTTAGTTAGGTTTCAACAATGCAGGTTACAGGTAGTTGCTTACTTTGTCTTTGATTTCAAAAATAGAAGGAAGATTAAAGAAAGTACCGTTTGAAACTGAGAGAACAATGTAGCATGTATTTTGACATACTGTTGAAATTGGATCACAATAAAATGGTTTAAAAGTATTTTCAGATGAATGAACCTAGTGCTTAGGGCAAACAAGCAACACTTAAAGATATGTAAAAAGAAATTTTATACATAAATATGTCATTGTATTCGGAAGTGTTTGTGTTAGATTTATAAATTTAGATCTTCTGAAAATAGCAGCACTTCTGCGAAGTTAGCAAAATGGATAGAAATGTAATGGCCAATTGCCAAATGACAAGTACTGCAATAATGTAATTCTAAAGTTAAAAGTTAATGTTTCTTTAAATCAGAGCTTGTGTTATAGAAAATTTGTGTAACTGTTGTATATTTACTCTTTCATCAGCGAGAATCCATTGTAATTGATGTATGTACTGGGTGGATTGTTGAATTTTTCTCCAGGTGATTTCATTTTGTAAACAGTTCATACTTTGTTTGAATCTTTAGTTACTGAATGAAAGGTATTTAGTAAGGATCCTACAGTCAAGTCATTCATTTTAATTCCTGTAGCTTTAAGGCAATATAGTAGAAACACTGTTTTGATGCGGTGTTCTGGAATTCTTTGAAGAAAGCGATACTCTAGCTCCATGCTGGACAAATGACAATGGATTTCCTTTTGCTCTTTTTGTACTGTAGTGTAACGTTATTTAAAAAACAAAAGGTTCAGTTGCATTTAGGTCAGTTATTAAAATATTGTTGGTCATTTCCTTTGACAGAACATTTCTATTGTGTTATACCAATGTCATTAGGAGGAAAGGTTATTCCCACTTGTCTGGCTGATATCAATACGTACTGGCATATTACATCCTCTGGCTTTCTGGAAATGCTTTATTTGAGCAGCAGCTTGGGAACAGGAAATTTAAGGTTATGCTCAGTCTGGTTTCAGACTGCGTGGTACAAAATGTGTTTCCTAGAAGATGCTGTCTACCTGACAAATGTTTTCTAACATTTTGTAGACTCTGATAAGCTTAAATGGGTTCGAGTTGGGCATAAATTTTTACCAGCTGTAGATTGCAGACAAGGAAGAACAAGGCTTTTAGTCACTCCATAATATGTATTTGAGGAACTTACACGAATCATGTTAGTATCTCACCCATTCACCAATTACTCTGGAATGTTGTTCACCTTTTAAGATATGGCAACGATAATATTCCCGTTTTATAGTTATTCTTACTGTGTAGGAGGAAAAAAAGAGTACTTTTATTTCAAGCCGTGATCAATTGTGAAGTCTGAGACACTGTGGTAGCTTCTAAAGGCAGAGGTTCAAGGATGGCATCTTAACCATGCTGAGCAGCCCTTTCTACCAGAATCATAGTAAGCAGGAGAATAGGAGTACAGTTTAATCCTGTAACTGTTCATTGAACTATTCATTCATCCATGTAAAACAGAGCAAACTGTGATCAGCAGTTATGTCCTGTTGTATTTCTTAAGCTGAGCCTGTCAGTCTTGGGTGAATCTGTAAATTATGTAAACCTCAGGCCTTTTTCAAATCTGTACTCTAGAGGTGTCTCCCTAAGTGCTCCATACACACTCTAAGACTTTAAGTTTTCCTTTTTTACCAAAGCAAGAACAATGTCTGTGTTTCTGAAGAATGAGAGCACTATCTTCCAAAACTGTTTCCCCCAGCCATTTTCATGTGACAAGAATGTATGTTTTTCATCCTAATCACGGGAATGAGTGATGCATAGATAGTTAACACAGCATTGCCAGCCGTAGTCATTCATGACATGAATCCTGTTGCTGAAAGTCATGACAGTGGTCTAAAAATCATCTTTATGAGATAGAAAAAGGATTGTATTTTTAAATTGTATTTCTTTTATTTTTGTCTCTTTTTTTTTTCCTGGATGTAGGTAGTGCATACACAAATTTCTTTGCCTTTCTGGTAGCTGTTAAGTTAAATGAGGAGGAGTGGAGGGGATGGGTAGAATGTAGCTGAGATTCTCTTAAAATTGATCCCCTCCAGGACTGAGGACTTCAGGAAAAACAACATGTGGTAAGATTTGAGGTAAAATTGCCTTAGTAAACGTTATAGATCTTTATTTTTTTTTTTCCTCCAAAAAAGAGAGATTTTCAGGGAAGCAATATGTATTTCATGTCGCTTTCAGTGACAAATTAGACTTGGTATGTTTTAGCATCATCACTTGATGCTGAAAATAAGAAATTCATTTTGATAACATCCTAATATATATGACTTCAGAGGGAAACAAATACAAAGTTGTGGAAAGAGAAATGCTTGAAGTATTAAGCCATCATACACTTATACTGAAGTCTGTATAAAACCATTCCAAAGGGATACATCATGAACTACAGTCATTAGAGATAATAAAATTTTTAAGCCTTTTTAATGGAAATGGCCACATAGTTAGAGAAGAGGCTACAAGTAGGATTCATTGTAGAGCTGAAGGTATGGAGCCTGGTGAATAACAGATGAAGCTTTCTATCTACCTTTCCAGAATATCAGAAAATAAAATTTTTACACAGCTCGTTAATCTCATTCCAGGTCAGAACTATGGAGTCTCACCTTGATAAGATCCTCTGTTTCAGTTTGAAGTTTTTTGTAAGCCTCTTCATAGAATCAAAAAATAGCTGAGGTTGGAAGGAGCCTTTAGAGGTCATCTTATCCAGCCCCCCTGCCTGGGCAGGGTCAGATAGAGCAGGCTGTGCAGGACCTTATCCAGTCAAGTTTTGAATATCTCCAAGGACGGAGACTTGTCAACCTCTCTATGCAACCTATTCACTTGTGTTTATTAGTTTTGGTGTTATACAAAGTACAAATAGTTTGTATATTTTAGAGGACATGGTTTTTACCCAGCTTCATTCATTTCCTTAACATAGGTTAAGAAACATAATTTTTATGTGTTTGAATACAAGGCAGTCTTAAGATAGCTACTTCAAAGTACAGAAATATTTTCTGTCCTTTCATTGTGGAAAATGCTGCATACCAAAGCAGTTTTTCCACTGAAGAGGTAGAAAAGGGCTAATGCTTTTTTTGTCCTTGCCGAAGAATGTAAATTATGCATATAATTTGTTTATGAAATGTCTGAAACTTCCAGGACAAAAGTAACCATGCCATCTGTAACTACTTCGAGTTCAGATATTGCTGAGTAATTTTATTTGAAGCTACTGTATTATATCTTCACTTAGTTGTAAAATGCAGACATCTTTGCCAATTCTAAGAGTCTTAATGTTAACTGTACAAACCATGCAATTTAAAATCCTGTTGCAGCTAGTTTGTTGTCATAACTCTATGTAATGTACAGAAATACAGATTAATTTTGCTTATAATCAAAGCTGACCAAAGGCCACATGACTATGTTAACATGTCCTGAGCTTGTATCAAGAAGACCTGTTGAGGATGTAAGTACAAAGCATATGAGGACCTAAGTATTTTTGCATCAGATCTGTCTCATGTCCTGTCAGCATGGACTACAGGGTGAGTCCTCATCTGCCTTTAACATAGATCCATTCAAGGTCAACCAGATGTAGCTATGCAACACTGATCGTGTTAGATATGGTTTGTAAACAGAAAACCTTCCTGCATAAAGCTTACTGTGCATGGAAGACTGATCTAAACCAATGTTAGAGTAGTTAAACTGAGACATAACATTGCTTCTGTGCCACTGACACAATTATCTTCATTGTATTAACGTTTTTATTTGTGTTAACTGTGTTTCTTGATGTACAGTCAACTTGTAATAAAAACTTCTTCCAGGCACATTGAAGAGACTTGTGTATGGATGGCATTTGTGTTAAGAAGGTGAGTCGCGGTAACTCTAGTGAAGAGACAGTCAAGGTGAAGTAAAACACAAGGTTGGGGCAACAGAAGAAAAACTATTTGCTTCGTCACTGTCGATCCTATATCCATTATTTGAGTAATGGAGCAGAGTTGTTTCCGTAGTTAGTGCTGATTTGGCATATTCACTTGGCTGACTGTGTTTTGAGTCAGAAGCTGTGCAGGGTTGTACTTGTCTGATCTCTGTATGTTTCATATCAGAGTTAATTTTTTGAATTGAAACTTTTCAAATTCTTAGATGCAATAGTGTAATTTTAGGGAAGAATAGAATGGTAATTTGGGCCTGTCTATGCCTGGTACTAGCCCTCTTATCAGTTTTCTTGTAGGTCCCTATATGGACTCATGCATATGCACCTCTGGTATCAGTATGAAAGGGGGAGTGCTTGTCTCTCTGCTGCTGTAAACGATTTTGGTCTCTGTTCTTGTCTAATTCAACAGAATTTAGCTTCTTGGAATCCTTCAAACCCTGAATGCCTCCTACTTGTTGTGAAAGAGCTTGTGCAGCAGTATCACCAATTTCAGTGCAGCCGATTACGTGAGAGCTCTCGTCTCATGTTTGAATATCAGACTTTACTTGAAGAGCCCCAGTATGGAGAAAACATGGAAATCTATGCTGGCAAAAAAAACAACTGGGTAAGCTATTAAGGATATTTCTGCTAAAATGCTTTCAGTGATCCTTATATTTTAATAAATACAGCTCTTGCCTTGGAAAACTTGAGTTATTTCTGTGTTTCTCCATGCTTTCTGTTTGCAATGGGGAAAACTTCTATTTGACTCCAGCTCACTTTCTATACTCCCTGTTTTTTGCGTTGCTCTCATTCCACTACCCTGGTTGAACCAGATTTCCATGTGAGTAACTGTTTTTCAACCTGATGTTAGTTAATCTGATTTATCTGATGGAAAATTTGAAAACCGTTGAAAAGCCTATGCAGTATTTACAGACCACAGTACAATGTGATGTGAAAGTTTGAGTTAGCTCTGAAGATTTGAGGGGCAGAATAACAGTGTTAGTATGACACCCTGCCCAGACAAATCAGTCTGCTTAGGGGTAAGATGTATTAGGATGTGGTTCCACATTTAATTGATAGCTGCAGCTGCCTATATCTCTCTGGCCGTTGTCTAAGATGAGACGAGTTATTTCAGGAGCCTAAGCTGGAGAGGAAAAAAAAAAAACAAAACAACCCACTAATTTTCTGCAGGACAGGAGGAAGTGAGATGGACCAGAGCAGTGACTTTGTAGGGCTGTGTCTTCATATGACAGTCAGACATTAAACTGACTTATCTGTTTCCTGAAGTTGTATGCTTTGCCTGGGAAATGTGCCATGCTGTGTAGAAACACTCTACGTATGCCATCTCAGCTTTTTAAAATGAGGCTATTGGCAATGTAGACATTTTGGTTAGTGTGTGAATTGATTTCTTTTTTTTTTTAAAATTTTTTAAGTGATCTCTGCCACAGAGTAAGCTTTGCAAAAATCAGTTTTTTTCTGCTGGTAATATATTTGTCATGGGAGGTTTGGAATATGATATATCAGGAAATATATAATTGTGTTTATGCTGAACGTGTCCCCGTCTTGCTTTCAGCAATAGGATACTCTTAAGATATACTGGTCTTCAGAAGCAATATCTTCTGAAATAGATGCAGTCTGAAAATCAATGAAAATTCAGCATTCCTGTTACCAGGGCCTAGAATTCAGTTTTATGTCACTTTGATCATCCTTAAGTTACAGGTGACGCAAGGATGTTCATTTTACAACTCTCAGTACTTACATTCATATGTTTTTCTTATACAAGTCATCTAGGCTTTTTTATTTTAAGCCAAGTAAAGTTTTCTTTATCTGAGAATTTCAGATCTTTTTTTATGTTTATAGATCACAATATTTCATTGAAATTAATTTGTTCTTGAATGTTATTCTCTATAGTTCGCATTACAGGCGACTTGTCACATCTGTAAATATCATCAGAGTGGTTTATTGAAATGCAGAAAGCTTTCTGAACTGTACTGAGATTTTATCATAATTTTTGGCAGCTGCCAAAATTCTACTCAAGATTGTAGAAAACTAGGGGGTTTTTCTTTTTTTTTTTTTTTTTTTTGTTATAGGAAAGCCATGTCTACTCAAACATTTTGAATCTTTCCTCAGTCTTTGGTGACTGAATAAAGAACTTTTTTTTTGCATTTGAAGTACTGTCTTAGTTAAAAATATTCCAACAAAATACATCTTAAAATACATCTTAAATACATTCTGAGGCAAATCTTGTTAATCATTGCAGAGCTATTTGAGGTTTCTGTAGCGTGTGCTTTGTTTTCAAAGTTTACATTCTCTATCAAGAAGACTCTGAGTCTTGTTTGGAGATTCTGTGAACCTGGTATCTACATGATAGAGGCTTGTTTATGAATGTCTTAAAACTCAAAACTGTGAAACTAACTTGTGTAGTTCTCCTTCCTGTCCTTTACAACTGTCTTGTTAGTCTTGGTGATCAGCGCAATAGGAGTGTGTGTCTTAAAAGCAAGAGGTAAACTGCATGTTATCTTCTCTGCCTAGAAGTCATTGAAATTCATGTTGTTGCTGCCTCTTGAGAATCGATAGTAGCTCAGCAGACTTCTGAAATAATCATCTATGAATGAATCTTGCACTGTATTATGAAAGCAATCCTCTTAAGTGCACGAGTTAAAAAACTTTGAAGAGGAAGCCTGAATTCAGTGCTGTGTACCAAAATAGAACAGAAATTTGCTTTTATACCTTTGTTCCAGTATCTCCGGTTTCCTGAAGTGATCTCTAAGATCTATGACAAATAGACAAATTGTTATCTAGCTTAGTAGCTTCATGTTGGCAGAGTACCAGCTGATACAGATGCCCATTAACTAATCTGTCAGTGCTGTGGCCAGAAATTCATCTAACTTGACCTGATGCCTGTTACCAGCAGGTTGGGTAGGCAAGCACCATGGACAGGGACTGCTCCCTGCCCATCCAGGGCATTTTGGAAGTCATACTTTGCAAAATAATGTTGATTGAACATTATAAAAGATCTAGACTTTTAAGTCCTTATTTACTTCCACATCTCGGAGCAACTGAGGTTTTGGTCAGAGGCCATTCATCTGTTCAGTGGCCATCTCAGTTCATCAAACTTGGTGTTTTACCAGAAATAATTTTCTGGATTTTATGGCAAATATGTCTGGCATTTTTTGTAAGTCCAGACAAGAAGCGCTGTCTATAATACCCATTTTACTCTGAATAAAAAGTGAGTGCCCTAACTGTCATCAGAGCAGTCTTAGTGTTATACATGCACGGTGGTTTTTCTGCATACATAGGTAATACAGCATCAGAAAGTTGACATCTATCCTCACAAGTAGTGTCATCAGGAAAGGTTTCAGAGTCTGGCTTTAATTTAATACAGGCTCAGTTTTTGTTGCATAGTGTTTCTATATGCAATTGCTTTGCCTCTGTTGTGTGAATACCAGGGACAAACTTTAAGGGCAATCTGAACTAGCTGGCAGTAGCGTGGATTACAATGTAACATCACAAACTCTTTTGGCAAATGATATCACTGGCAAGGTTCCATTGGAAAGATTTTGGTTGCATTCAAGATCTTGGGTTTTTCTTGTTTAATAACTGGAAGGCAGAATGAGTTATCTCTAGTTCATGCCTGATACATAGACCAAGAAACAAACTGACACTGATATGGGCATTGCTTATTGTATGTCTGCCTAATACAGCATCTCTAAGTGCTTAACTGCTTGGGGTGAAATCTTTGCTTAATTTAGGCATAAAATAATTTAAGGAAGCCAGTTCTGTATAATTTTTTCCTTCTCAGTTTTCTTTCATGTCAGTACCACAGAAAATAATGTGCTTAGCAAACAATCACTTATATTCCTCAGCTGCCCCTCTTAGCAGCTTGCCATTCATTTTGGAAAGCCAGTTTCCATTGGCTTTGATCTCCCGTACTTTCTGAGAGAGGCTTGTGCATCGGCAAGCTGGTTTCCTTTGGTATTTTATTCAGCCAGTTCCTTTATGAATCAATATGCATAGCAATTGATGTAGTCCATCATTATGGAGGCTTGCGATCTGGTTGTATATGGCCAGTGGCAACCTTCATGTTTTCTGTTATGCTGAGCTCAAAGCAATTTACGGATTAGCACAGCTAATCAAGAGGGGAGGCAGAAATACTGACTATTTTCCAAAGGCATATGGCTAATTTTTGGTATCTGTACAGGTGACTTTGAACACTTTCCTGATGAATAGTTGTAGCCTTTTGCAAGCTGTCCTCATAGCTATGTGGAGTTCTTGTAATAACATCTACTACAGGCAATAAAGCAGTGGCCTGAAAAGTATCCTTCTGACATCTGTGTGGATTATAAGGCCTTGAGTATTGAGAGGTCTGAGCCATGGGCACAGGTTGCCCAGAGACATTGTGGGATCCTCATCCTTAGAGGTATTCAGACACCGTCTGGACATAGTCCCAGGCAACCTGTTCACTGTCAAGATTCTCTACATCTCTTCTATGGGTCACTGCTGCATTTTATAGAAAGGATACTTCCGTTATTTGAAACGTATTGCAGGCTTTTGCTTACCACAAGGTATAGTTGTATACACAATAAAGGTGATCCTGTTTAAATCTAGTATAGTATTTACATTCACTCTTTTAATGAGAATTGCAATGTGCACATTCACCATAATGCATGTGCACTTTGTTAAAATTTGTATGTTGTACGCTTCTTGTTTAAAGTATTTTTCTTCCCAGTTTGTCTGGCTATGCAAAACACTTAAAACACTAAAATGAAAATTATGTACAGATAGCTATAGTCAAGAAATAGTGAAGTAGTACATGTGTGTTACTGTGGAAGAGCAAATGCTGCATACTCATGCAGCTTTGATTTGTCCCCTTGCCTGTTTAAATGATGTACTGTTTTCTAAAAATTGTATGTCATCGTGTGACTAAGTAGCATATGTATGCAAAAATAGGGCAGTGTTAAAACTGAAAAAAGCTTTGCTACCTTGTCTCAAGATATCCTAAGTTTTTGTACTTAACTGCATAAAATCAATGTTTAACACTTTTTGTACCGCTAATTCAACATGAGAAATATAGCTGCTGTATGGCTACTTTATTGGATTAAAAAACAGAGATGACAAAAAATTAATATGGAGGAAATCAGGCAGGCATTTGTTTTTCAAAGAGAACCAATTTCATTGCTTCATAGCCAGGTGGACAAAGTCTGGTTTTAAGGAAGTTTATGAAACAGAAAGGAAATCCTTTCCATTTCCTTTGCATACACTTTATGCATAAAAAAGAGCAATGTGTAGGGGACACTTGGCAAATCTTCAGTAAATGGTTGTCTAGGTGTTAAGAGTTACACAATTCTGAAAACAAATTATATAAAACCTTCTATGTCAGTTCATTCCTCTGTGTTTATTCAGAGGACACTTGATACATTCTCACCTTACTCAACACAAATTCTTTTACATATATTTGCAATGTTTGTGAAGATGCCTCTTTTTATCTATACGCTCTTATAAATTTGTCAGGTTTTTAGCTTTGCTTTCAGACCATTTGCAGGTCTTGCTGGACCTTTGTCCGGAAATGAGTACAGCCAAGATACATCTATATTTAGGGCCTAACAAAGTATAGTCTGATTTTTGTCATGCACATTGTTGTATTCTGACTACTTTTTGCTGTTGACTTACTGGCAATGATGTTTTATGGGTTTTAAGGTGTTTTCTCATGTAACATCTGTGAAATCTGTAAATTATTTTTTTCCTTTTTGGTAATTCCACTGAGAAATGTTGTTTTAAATATCAACTCTTCTGTATGGTATGAGCTCTTACATATTTTTCTGATTAATATTTAATCTTTAGAACGTTCCATTTGTGGTTCTGTTTTAGACACCATGTCTCATTAGTGGTACCTTTTTTCCACAGACTGGAGAATTCTCAGCTCGCTTCCTCTTGAAGTTGCCTGTAGATTTCAGCAATATTCCTACGTACCTTCTCAAGGTAAAATGAATGTCTAAGCTGACAGTATTTGTGAGAGAATATGAATTGTTGAAATGTTCTTAGTAACTATTTTGACTTTCCTGCCCTCCTCCTCTCCCACAGTTTGAAAGTCCACCATTTATAACCTGATTGGATTATGTTTTGGAAAGGTGACGTTAGACATATGGTTGTTTTGCGTGGCGTTTTACCATGTAGTAGATATAGACCTATCACTCTAAATGACCTTGCAGGATTTGAGTTGTTGTAGAAGATCACATGCAATGCAGATGTTCTGGGTTTTTAGACAATATGGTAAGTAGCAAACTCTTGACCATATCCAAGGTATTATCTTGGGGAATAAATTTGAATATTTCCAGATAAACTCTTTTATATGAGTCTATGGGATTTCATGCTATGTAAGTGTTGGGTTTTTTAATGAACAGTCCAGTTGTACCAGTGGTCTTGATAGCAGAGGCAGAAAAGCAAGCTAAATATACCATTTCTTAACAGGGAGTGAAAGCAAATACTGATGACATGAACTAAAGGTTTCGATGATTACTTTGCTTCATTGTTTACAATGAACACTAATTTGATCAGATACTTTAGAACGTAGGACTATAGAGTATTGATTTGGATTGGAAAAAGGTATTTCTTTGCTGAGAGCTAAAAAACCCCTTGTGACAAACTACCAACATGGAATTATTTGAAACGAGTGGTTTTCACAACAGGAAGACAGTCATTCTTTCAAGCAGTTCCTGTGGAAGCCCACCATAAGGTCAATGTTACTATATTCAGAGAAAGCAGTGAGAGATCTGCGTTCTCTCTCTCTGTCATTACTGTCAGAATGAAGTGCCAGAACTTCTACTAGAGACAAGGTTTGAGTCAGCTGATGTTACCAACACCTATCTTTCATTTAAACTGCATGTCTGCCTCCTTACTCAGCTTTTTACTTTTAGATACTTGGGTAGAAGAACAGCTACTTAATGTTTAGCAGCTAATGTGTAGAGACGAAAATGTCAATGTAGATCCTATTACCTCCTCTTCATCTTATTGTTACAGCTGTCTTCAACTATTGTTTGAACACAATTGCAAGTGTGAATCTTCAGTGTTTCTCCAAATAAAATGTCTCTAGCTAATAACCATGAAAATAAAGGCAGGCACAACTATAATCTGACTGAAATTTTTGGTTGTAGTCTGAGATAGGTATCCTGTGATCTCTTTGCCTTCTGTACACTGTTTGCTGTTTGAGTAATGAGCTGCTCCTAACTTTCTCATAAGCATCCAGATATTTTCAGTTTGTTCCTATGTTCATCGTAGCAGCCCTTCTCCCAGCTGCTATCTTTCATCAGGGCCTTCTCTTCTCACTTGATGAGAGTGTTTCCAGTCAGATGTAAGAGGACTGGCCAAGGCCCTTTCAGGAAGGATGGTGTTGAGAAGCAGGATGCAGCAACAGTTCACCTGGACTGCAGGATAGCTGTGATTTGCTTCTGAAAGACTCTGTAGAAAAAAGGAGACTGAGAACATCTCACGTGAACTATGCTGTCTGCTCCAGCCAGAACTCCCAAGTGCCAAATTTTCCAGGACCAATTTTAAACTGGTCAAGAATTTCAAGGACAAATGCATACCCAGTATGTTCGATAGCTTCAGTCACAGGACTCTCTTCTACCTCTGTTCCGCCTCTGGGAAAACTGCATGACTTGGAGGGTGGAAGGTGGTGTATGACTTACGTAAATAACTGTCATCATGTAGGAACACTGTGATAGAAACAGATTCTACTTTTGTTTCTAAAGAGTGGCGTCTGAATGCATGACTCCTCTTTGCTGTAATTCCCTATCATCTTCACTAAACATCTTCCACCTTCTCTAAACAGGGTTGGTATACTGTGGATAAATCATCAGTGCTCCACAACTGCTTCCTGGGGCGTTGTTCATGCTGAGTACTGAATGATTCATTAGTCTGAAGGAAAACATGTATTTATTTTGTATGCATATATAAATTGTGTGATGTGAAGAGGCACGTACAGAAGGTAGCAGAATCAAAGTTTCCCAGTCTGCTTTTATTTTGACATTTCTAAAATTTTAATGTCTTAGCTTTGGGGTTTTAAAATTTATGTATTTTTATATGTAATAGCCTGGATTTTTACAACAGCAGATCCTTCTTGATGGGCAATGTACTGATGAAATCCTTAGCTATCTTATGTAGACTTCTGCTATGCAAACTGACAGCTTAACTGTCTGTGGTAGAAAAGTGATACGTAGTCTGGATGAGTAGCCACAGGAGAAGAAATATTGTTTTATTCCAGTAGTGTTTGTTAACAGCAGAAGAATGGTTTGACTAAGGCTCTAGCATGGATTATGACAGAGTGTGCTCTGTAGCACGCACGGATCTTTTACCTCTTCTGCCTTTAGCTCCTTATATTCTGAGATTACCAGCTATATGAATGTCATTTCATATGACAACAATATATAGGCAGGTAGAATGGGAACTACTCTATTGTGATTGAAATAATTATGCTCTGACTACTCCAAATTCATAAAGCTACTTAAAAAAATTCAGTTGTTTTTTTCAAGTTATCCATGTCTTTCTTACGTCTTTTCTTTTCTTTGGATGAGACTTTTGACATAAACAGGTCATTAATTTGGTGCAATAAAATAGGAGTTTATTTTTCATTATGTCTGCTAGTTATGTTGACTTCAATGCTACCTGCTGGATTACGGTACATGATAGAGCATCTATTGATGCAGTGGAAATAATTGTTACTATATTACCCTGAAGGGTGGAAGAGCAGTCAGCAATTGAAGGCTGCTGGTATATTAACAGCGTAATGTTTAACTGCAGAATTTAATGTGTTTGAATTATGTTCTAGTCTGTAGCCAGCCTTATAGTGTGCAGTAGCTTCTCTGTAATGATATGCAAATTTCAAACCTGTGTTATGCTTTCTCTGCCATCTTCTTTTTTGATGTTTTATTATATTAAAATCTGATGAAATATTTAAAGACCATTATTTCTGCCACATCAATCAGTCCTAGTACCCCAACGAATTCTGATGCTCTTCTGAAATTTTCATTGATGTCAGTAGGTAATCACACTACCAGTGTGACTGTAAAGCTTTGTATAGTAAGCTAATACTCAGGGTTGAGGATGTAAGCTATGAGAAGAGTCTGTAGTGTTGAAAAATGTTTGGAGTTGTTGAGAATACACTCCAAAATCACAAGATCTGACTCTGTCAACGTCATACTGATGGTGCTGAGAGTATTTTCCTTTCCCTATAAAGAATAAAAATTTGAAGATGTAGCATAATTTGGGTTGTTGTGGACTGGAGGAGTGGATTTAATAGATTATTTTAAAGGTATCCACTGCACTAAATTTAAAATTCAGTTCAAGTGTGTGTGAGTTTTAAGGAAAATAGCTGAGTATATGAAGAAGAGTGAGAATGATTAAAAGAGCAGTGCGGAGTATGCTGTCTCTTCATTTCAATTCTGAAATTCTAGTGAAAGTTCTTCAGTTCTTATTTATTTGTATAATGGCTGCAGCAGATAAATCTTTTTTCGTAAGTTTTCTTGGCATATTCCTTCACACTTGAAAGAAAAAGTATCATTCTTTATTTTCCATACTAAAGAATTGTTCAGAAAGAAATGTTCATTGACATTGAAAAAGCACATTTAGGAAAAGACACCCTTTCATTATTTTTTCCTTTTATAAAATTACACTTCAATACAAAGATTTTGAATTGAATGTAGACCTTCGTCTCCACTTTTACATTGTTTTCTTATGCAAATCCATTTGCTATAAATGAAAATTTTAAGTGTTAAAACAACTGCAGAATCAAACTAGTGGCTCAAACTACTGCAAGGTTCATTACTAAGTGTTTCGTTAAGGTTCTCTTATTTGATGATAATGTGGCTTTGGCTCAGGAAAATCCTTACATCTGCATCTATTTACTATTATACTTTCCTTTTCCCTTTTTTGCAGTTGGATGTTTAATCAGCACATTCATTTTGGCTTAAATACTTTTATGCTGGTTGCAAGATTTTTAATTTTTGCCACAATATTTTATAAATGGAAGTATTCACTGTATATACTGGCTTTGAGAGTCAGTCTCTAGTTCACATTTGTGCCTCTTTACAGTTACCATGTATGCCACAGTAATAATGACTTAGCATCTGAAATACCTCACCCAAATTTTGTTTGTTTCTTTGTAGTTTTGGTCAGATATGGGGACATGTGTTATCATAATGATAATGCATTAAAAATCTCCAGCTCAGTAATTTAGAAATTGTATTGGATTATGGGACTGTAGTATGATTGCACAATATGAGTGAACTTCAGAGTATGTTTCCAGTGATGTTGTTGAAAACAAGACATTTAGGTATTTTTCTTTTATTTCCTTTTTTTTTTTGAGGTTTTGGCTAAGTAAGATGTTCCCTGATTACCACCACCTTCTTGTATGTAATTTTTAAAGTATTCATTTCCTATTATGATGTACCTGCTTGTTTTGCCCAGGTGAATAGCTAATATCTGAATGAATTTAGCTATGATGCTGTGACCAGAAGCCTTCCAATAATTTCTTACTATTCAAGTGTAAAGGAAATATGCAAAGCAGACCTTATTTCTTTTTGTAGAAGATTTTAAAAAAATCTTCAAACCTGTTTTTTTCTGAAGAACTTTTTTGTGATGACCATTGTATTTAGCGGATATCTTTTAGAACTGAAACAAATAACAGACATTGTCTAGACACATTGCCAGGGGCCAAACAGTTGCGTGTAAGACTGTCAATGGAAAAGGTTTATCCTCAAGTTCAAATGGAAAGATAAGAACATATTTGTGTTTTTCCTTACTGTGATTTCATCATTTCCAAGTCTGTTAAAAGACTTCAGTGCAACTTTTGTTTACGACGTAGACCAAATTCCAAGTATTGTGAAAAGACTGCAATACTTGTGTAGGTTTGAGTAATCAACTCTAGTAGAGAACAAACAAAAGTTAAGTATAGTATGCAGGATCAAATGAGTTTTTTTTTTTTC